AATTGTAACAGCTACAAAAATAGTTTTCCTACACATTGCTTCTCTGTAATTATTTGCTGATATAAATGAAGAACCTGAAAATTAAAACCACAGAAAAAAAACCTCATTAGTAACAATATCATCTATTGAATATTCACCAAAACTCCCTACGCGGTCTTACAAGTGACACACACACATTATTACATTTAATCCTGACACTACTTCATGAGCTAAGTAGGGTTATTATTTCTTTGTAACTGAAGAACTTGGGCTAAGTGCAGTGGTTCTCAGCCAGGACCTCCTGGAAGTCTTTGAGGAGGTTTGGAATGCTACACTGACAGCTGAGGCAATCCTGGCATTTAGTAGGTGGGAGCCAGGGAACTTACACAGCCTGCAATGTGCTGGACAAACCCATAGAATAATCCAGCCCAAAATGCTATACCACTACTGAGCGACACTTACTGAGGATAAATGGACAGAGCCAAAGAGCTAATAATGTCTTTAAACTAGTTTGATTCAATAGCAAAATCAAGGAAATCACTAGGACCCACCCAAAAGAAATCAAATATAAAAGCTTATCAAATTCTCATACTAATGTAAGTCGTCTAGGTTACCTTCTCAAAATGGCAAAATGACAAAAAAAGATGACATACTTACAAACATTACTCTGGCACCCTCTTTACCAGGTTTTCCATTTGTCTTGTAATTGCCTCAGTATATTTGCAAAACTTTATCATCATCCTTAATTACTCCAAGATGTTATAGAAAGGAGTCATCAAGTCCTCCTCCAGTTCCCATTCTACTAACCCTGTTTTATATCCATTTTACTACCGATATGGGTTAATATCTAGTTACATATGAAGTTTCACTTAGTCTATTCTTTTCCTCCTTGCACCACCACCCATTAATCACCCTAAAAATCATACTGTTTTCCTGTCAGCATCTCCTTATTTAACTACAATGATAATGGTAGTTTTCAAGGTTCTCCACCAACTGGCTCCTATTTTCCCACCAACTCAATTAGAATCACTATTTCAAAGAGTCTCTTTAGTACTGCTCTAAATTACCATGATAATTCCCTTTTCTCTACTTTTGTCAACACAGTTTGCCTAGAATAATTTTCCCATTCCTTCTTCTCTGCTATTCAGAATACTTTTAGTGTGTAGATGTCATCAAATACAATGAATTTGCCTGTAATGTAACTTAGTGTAATGTCAGTAGACCTCTAAATAATTATTTAACTTCAATTACTTTTATCTAGTTCTGGTCCTACAGTTAGGACTAGAAACTTCTTGAAGGTAAAAATCACATAATCTTTTCTTCTGAATATTCACATAGACCAATCACAGAATTATTTCTTGAAGAAATCATGAACAGCACCTTTGTTTTATCTTATGTTGTTTTTTTTTAGTTTTTTTTATGTAAGAGAACTCAATTGGTTGCCTCCTGCAGGAGCCTGGACCAGGGCCCAGGCTGGGGAGGAGCCTGAATCAAAATATATGCTCTTGATCATAATCAAACCTGGGACCGTTTGGTCCACAGGCCGATGCTCTATCCACTGAGCAAAACTGGCTAGGGCTGTACCTTCATTTTAAAAGTGGGAGGAAAAAACTAATTCAAGAACACATAATTCTTTGGTGATGAGAATTAGAATTCAGATTACAATTTGTAATCTGATGTTAATGCTTAATATATGCTTGTTAAACAAACTCCAAGGTACATTACTAGAAATGCTTTCATTCTTTAGCTAGAATCTTGTTTACCCTGTTTACTTATTCATATAAGAATAATTATTTTACCCCAATAGTTAATTGTTTTTTGTTTGTTTGTTTGTTTTTACTTTTCAATTACAGTTGACATATTAGTCTCAGGTATACAACTTATGAAGTGATCACCCCACAAGCCACATCTGACATCATACATAGGTATTACGATAATATTGGCTATATTGTCCATTATCCCAATAGTTTTGATGTCTAGATTACTCGTAAAAATCAAACTGTTCCTATTTCTATATGGCAAAAAGAGAACTAATATAATGAAATCACATCACTATTATATGATGTATTATATAAAATATGCTTTCCTGCTTCCTATCAATGAGTACATTCCAACCGCATATTCTCTCCAGAAGCCAAGAAGGTTGAACATAAAGCACGTTTATAAGTAGAATCATCAGTCATTTGCTATATATTAATGCAGCAAATGCATAAATTTATCTTGTCTCATTATCACATATAAGGATTCAGATTTTCACTGACTATAAATATGAGATATCAGATGTAACTTTCTTCATCTTTTTTTTTTAACTTCAACATAGATCAATATAGTTTAGTCCCTCAACATTTCAGAAGACCTTTTTTACTCAAATCAGATATACATTTCAAATTCCAATAGCCTAATTCTATTTCTGAATATATCTCCTACTTTTTGCTCCACAAGTAAAGACTTTATCTAGAAGTATATTTCTACTCTAAAGATATCTTTTAAGACAAATATACTGCAGGCTACCAGTGTCTAATATGAGGAGAAAATAAAGACAAGATTAAAATAAATAAATAAATAAATAAATAAATAAATAAATAAAATAACAATTTCAGTAAAGAAAAACACAAAAGAGCAAGAGCAGCAGAATTAATTTGTAATAAGTCTGCATATTATATCAATTTAAAGCTGTAAAATTAGGAACTAAAATTTAACCTGTCTACTTTTGAAAATAAAGAAGAAAAAATAACATCTTAAAACACATATGCAGAAATTAGATAAAAATAAAAAGCTCTTAGTAATTTCCTATAAGTCAAAGCCGTAATAAATAAAGCTCATAAGCTGATCTGCTACTTAAACTTAACAGAAGAAATGATAAAATGGCATTACTGGTAGACAAACCAATTTACCATTCATATAAATCTTTTTTTTAAAAAAAGGGGAAGGGAATAGAAATATATTTGGTAAACAGTTTTTCAGACTTCATTCTAAATACAGTAAAACAGGTTCTAAAAAAATTTAGTCTAATTTGTAAACTATAATTACAGATTCATTTACACTCACACAGTATTTAACTATTAAAAATATGTATAAGCAAAAATCATACACAAGTAATTATTTTGGACACTTGATCCTTGCTTTTATTTGGCAATTAGCTTAGGCCTAATATTTTAAATCCTCCCTTGTGTCAACATGCTAATTACTCAGATTCATTAGGGGCAAAAGTCTTATCTAAGAAAAATATTTGGTTTTATTAAATTCAGCCTTGCTGTTGGTATTCACTTCAATTATATTAAATTACAAGAGGGAACAAATTGGTTGTTAAAAAATAGTAATTTATTTACCATGAGAAAACTGAGAGTGCACTGGGAAAATAGTTAAAATTCAACCCCTTTAAAAGAAAAGCAAAATAATCTAAAAATAACTGATTTAATTCAACAACTTTTTTAGTCCAGTGACGATACTCTTTTGAGAAAAAAAAAAAATCTGCTTTCAGTTCTAAACAATGCATCTAGATCCAACAAAGCACTATTCTTGTCACTATATAGAGTTTTACTGAACTCTTAGCACCCACACTGTCAGAAATTAATTCTATTCCCATCAACCCTAAGAAGATCATTGGGTTAGGAAGTAAAAATCTCTGGACAATTGAAGCCCAAAATATTCTAGACTAACTATCCAGATATTTGGGCAAGAGCCCTTTATACAATTTAGAAATTCACAGAATTTGGATCTTGGCTGGTCAGACCTGACCATTTTAATAGGTATGAGTGCATCACTGATATTTACTATGAATGGTAAGAGTTCAATGGCCCATTTGAAAAAGCTTTCATGATCACTTTAAAGACTGTACACTAATATCAAATGAAACTTGAGACATATCCTGATACCATATATCATACTCCTTGAAATGAAGATTTTAAAAAATGATAAGGAAAAAACTAATGCAAGTTCCCCTCCTCTTTATCAGGAGCCAGATGTGAGGGGTAAAGCTCCCATTCCTCCATTTGGTTGGTTGGTTGATTAGTTTGTTTGTTTTTAATGATAGTTATGCCTAGTGATTTTCTATTTACTTATAACCAACATATTACTTCAATAATATATAGAGAGCAAATATCCTACAGATGACTGAACACAGCATTTCTTTTAAAAATGTTACATTTAACTTTTAAAATAAGGGAATTTAGGTTAAGATGGTTTACTGTTATAGTAAAAGCAAACAAAATTTTAAGTTATATCATTTAAAAGAGGAAATAAGAGGTATTCTGTATTGTTCATACTAAAAAAAAATATCATCTTAACGATAAGTAGGTACTTAAAAAATATGCTATGACTAAACTTCTACATAACCAGGAAAAATAATTCTCTATACAAATACTTCAGAATTCTGCTAACCTAACAGTTTTTATATAGATAAAATAAATGCAGACTACAAAAGGAAAACATCAAAAGAGCATACTTTTCTATTTGCATTATGTGAAGACAATGCTCTAAAACTTCTGGAAATAGCAACCTTCTATAATCAGTTACATAAAGTGAAGACATTTATCTTCCAATGATTTTTCTAGAGGGACAAGTCAGGAATAGCCAAATTTAAATTTAAACTCTAATTCATTAAAATAATATGTCATAAGTTTAATATCAACCACACACAATATTTTTGAAAAGCAATTAAAAATGTACCCTGTGATACTGTCTTTAAACCTAGTCTTTAAATTGTTGCATTCAATAGACTAGTAGTATATGTAAATATATCTCCCCTTAGAAACTTCTCTTTGCAAAGGCAGTAAAACTTTAGAACTCTATATGGATGGATGCATGTTTAGCTACTATTAACTGAGAGCTGAGAAAAATCACAGCAACCTATAACCTGAATATATGTATAATCTAGAGAAAAGCCAACACCACATGATTTCACATAGTATCTGATCTTTTTTTTTTTTTTTTAAATTAAACAGTAAGAAAAACTGATTGGCAACACAGCAAGACTGAGAATACAATAAAAGTTTAAAAAATGAAATTAAGTGAAAGGATACAGCCTTAAAGCACCAGTCTGAGTTCCCACTGCTAGGATCTTCTGTACAGGATCGAAGGCCAGGGCTGAGGGTTGATAGGGAAATCCATGGCGAACAGTCTAGGGATGGGCAAGTGACATCACACCAACCAAAGCAGCAGCAAAATTTAAAAACAGAAAAGTCAATAAAGGCATTAGAATCTAAAGCCAATTTTAATGGGTGCAAAAACACATATACATGTACTTACTCCTTTAAAAAAAAACAAAAACCACTACAAAATGTATACTAAAAAACAAAACAATCACGTAGAACCTGAAACAAAATCTACCCCAGTGATACACTTTAATTTCTGCTTTTCCATAATCTGATATTCTATTGAAAAAAAAAAATCTTACTAATCGTCTGAGACCAAATTATTAAAGTTCACAGTGGTTAAAAATTCTGCAAATTCATTAAAAAGGCAATTCATGTTTTCTTTCAAGTGTGATAACTTCATCATTAGCTTATTTGAATGCTAATGCAAGTACTTCTAAGGAAAAGCTGTCATATAAGCTAGTCAAGGATCCAGTAAAGCAATTCTCAAACATCTATCCCAACATTTTGAAATTCTAACAGAAGACAGACTTTTGCATGTTGCTACTAAATACTTCATCATTTCAGGGCAATATGGCTTAAAAAAATGTCCCTACACACTTTTAAGAAACTCGAGCATTTGATCGCAAGGTGTTTACAAGGCAGGCAGGCATCAACACCACGCCAAGTTTGTATTTCTCATTGAGCAGCTGCTGAATTTAATTCGCTGCATCATTCTTTCGGAATTACAGACCGCTATGGCAACGGCCATGCCATTAATAGGCCAAAAAAAAAAAAAATCAAAAAAATCACAGTACTAACTTTTTTTCACTAAAACCTAAGGAGGACCCTGTGATTTCACATTTCGAAACCTACTAACATAGTCTAGGAGAAAAGTGATGAGCAAATTATCTGGCTGAACAGGTTTGGCTTTTTGACAAACAACATTCATCAGGCATTGACTGCTTCCACGGGGGGGAAAACTTCAAAGTTAGTGAATTACATTAAAAAAATGCCTGAATGTTAAGTAAGACTGTTCATTAAGAACATACGGATTAAAGATCAGTATAATATTGTAGGTTGGAAACCGCCTTGAATGATTGCTGCCTGGGACAGCGGGGGGGAGGATGGAGGGAGGGGGTAAAAATCAAAGAAAAGGTTTAAGATGATGTAAATCTCCAAAAACCAAACCCAAAACTATCAAGCAAACGTTTGCCGGAGGATGCATGATTATTATTCTAGTTCCCTAGCACTCCCCCCCTGCGAGCACCGCGCTGCCCCCGGAAGAGGAGCCGGCCGGCCGGCGGGCTGCACGGAGGGGGCCGTTCACCTTGCAGAGCTGGAAGTGCTCGGACTGGAGCGTCTCCTGGATCTCGGGCTCCCGGCTCCCCGGCGTGTGCTGCTGCGGCGGCGGCTGCTGCGAGGCCGAGGACGAGCCGGCGGTCAGGCCGTCCAGCACCTTCCTGATGTTGAATTTCCTCATGGTCTCGGCGGGGCTGGCCCGCGCGGCCCGCGAGGGGCGGCCAGGGGCGTCCCCGGGCGGGAGGAGCGAGCCCGGGCGGAGGGCGGCTTCCGCGGAGGCGCCGGGGGAGCGGGGGCGAGTGGGAGTGTGCGGGGACCGGAGGCAGCAGCTGCGGAGAAGCTAGAGACGATCCAAACAGGAAATACAGCGACGGCGCTGCCCGAGCAGCCCAGGCGGCGACCCTCTCTCTCTTCCTCCGAGGCCGCCGCCGCCGCCGCCTTCGCCTCGCCCCGCGGCCCGGCGGCCCCGCAGTGCCGGCGGCGCCCCGAGCGCTCGGCCGGCCTCACCTGGCCGCGGGCGGCCCCTGCGCCGCGCCGCCGCCCCGGCTCGCCTCCGCCGCCGCCGCCGCCGCCGCGGCCATGGCCCGCGCGGCCCCCGCTCCTCGCCCGCCCCGGCCCCCGCGGTCCCTCGGCGCTGCCTCTCGCTCCGGACGCCGCTCCGCCTCCTCCTCCTGCTCCGGGGGTCGCCGGCTCTCGGTCCGCAGCAGCCGCTCGGCCTCCCCGCCGCTCAGCGCCTGTGCCGCCGCCCGCCCGGCATCGCACGCAGAGCGCCCGGGGTGGGTCCCCGCGCTCGCCGCCTCGCTCCGCCTCGCCCGCCCGCCGCCGCGGGACCGTCCCGCCCTCGCTGCTTGGGAGCCCGGCTGCCTGCCTCCTCCGGCGTCTTGAGCCGCCTGCGCTCCCGCCCGGCCGCTCCCTCTCGCCGCCGACTGGGAGGCTCGGCGCAGGGCACCAACGCCCGCCGAGCAGCAGCGGGGCCGCGGGAACAGCGCCGGCGGCGGCGGCGGCGGCGGCAGCAGCGGGGCCTCCGCGGAGCGGGGCTGCTGAGCATGCGCACGCCCCCCCCCCCCCCCCCGCACCTCCTTTCCTCCCCCGCGGGCGGGGAGCCGGGGCTGGAAAGATCCTCCGCTACAATCCCGGACCGCAGCTACCTCTCTCCAGCCCCGACCGCCCCGCCAGGGTATGCAGCTGCTGCCCCTGCAGCTGGGGTAGTAAAAATGTGGACGACTTTTTTTTTTTTTTTTTTTTTTTTTTTAAATAAAGCAGCAGGAAACCTTTCTTTCCAATTCAGTCTTTAAAGCGGGGTTTATGCTCTCACCCTTTAAAGGGGTACATACATACTCCTCCCGGCTGCGGGCTGCAATATTATTGCTGTGACTTTATGGATGGTCTTTGTTTTGGATTGATTTGGATTTGGTACTGGGGGGGGGGGGGGAGCAACTTGGCAACGATTATGTAGCAAGAGGAGAATGACAGATTTTTTAATGCGCTAGGAAAGGAGATAAACCTTAAAAAGGGGGGTGGGATGTCATTTCTTTCCTGAAATTGTGGGTGGGATTAAAGAGTGGCCACGGCAGGGGCAGGTAGCTGCCGGAATGGAATAAGCTACCGAAGGGGAAACGCTCCAGGGCTGGGTGTCTGCCGCCACCCCTGGATCCAGTCTGCACGCAAGGGTGGGTGTGGATGGGGGCGGGAATGAGGGTGCAAGTAAACAATGAGCTGTCACTCATGTCAGAACCTTCCATCTCCTTTAACGCTGATTATTCGTTAAGTAATCCCCAGCAGCTTCTCTCTCGTCTCTTGGCGAGGGCAAGGAGGGAAGAGATGAGGTTTTCGCCCAGATCTTTCAGCTGCTTCAAACACACAATCTCGCTTGGGTGCTTGGAGACAAATGTCTGCTTCGAGTTTGACAAGGTAGAGAGAGGTTCGAGCTGCAAGTACCCTCCCAGAGAGTGCTTTCAACCAGAAAGGTAGAAGGCAAGCAGAGGTATTTGATTAGGAAGAATGTGGAAAAACTGGAAACCAGGAAATGGGGAAGCTCATCAAGACTAATTCTGTTTCGTGGGGTAGGGGTTGGGAGGAAGGACACTCTTCCAGATTCTCGACTTCCAAGCCCCTAAGGGTCCAGCGAGGAGCAAAGAGCTACTCAGGGTTCTCCAGCCCAGTTCAGAAGTGCCCGCCCTCTTGTTTATGATTGGCTGAATTCTGCATCGTTGTGGGAAATTCTCATCCCGGTATTGGTTGATGCGACAGGCTTTCAACAACAGTCAGCAAACCAACTACTACTCGGGCTCAGGGAGGGATTTCGGGAAATGTAGTTTTCTTTGGGGCTTCCGAATTCAAGGATGATGTATCACACTTGGAACATATAAAAATCGTATTGTGGTTTAATATTTATTGAATTACTCAGTTAATCCGATGGGGGCAAAGAACAAAACAAACTTGATTACTTTTCTTAGACTACTTACAAGTGTTTCTGAATTTTTTTTAAAAAATTATTATTATTTTTTACTAATTTAGTGCTCTGAAACATTTATTGCATGAGACCTTGTGCTAGGCACTGAAGGCAACACAAGAGTCCTTGCTTTCAACAAGCTCACCACAGTCTAAAAAGGGGAAAACCTCGCATAAATAAGTAATCATAAAACATTGTGATGAGTTCATTGATGGAATCATACATGAAGAGGAGTGAAGAGGGTAATTTAACCAGCCAGAGAAGTTCTGGAAATGATATTTACCAAAATTCTGTCCAGATAAGTAGGAGTTTACCAGGTGAATAGTGAGGAGAAGAGCATTGGAAGGCAGGTGGGAAGTTTATTTTAAAAATACTAATACCTCCATAGGGGGAAATTGCAAAACAGAGAGATCACTTATTTCTCCACAGATTTTTATGATCCACTTTACCATCTAAGTTGAAAATAAATCTGTTTGGAAATTTGTCATCATTGGATTATAAAACTCTTTGGAGAAGGGACAGCTTCTTGCTGAGAGGCCTTGTGGTGGTGTAGTGGAAAATTCCGGGACTCTGTTGTCTGCCAGACATGAATTTCAATCCAGGCCTTGGTAATATGTACAACTTTGGGTAAATCTCTTATTTTTCTGAAGCGCTAGGTTCCTCGAGTGTAAAATGAGATTAATACTATCTTCTTAGAGTTTTGTGAGGGTAAACTGGAAAACAATTATAAAGTTTGCACTACATTGGTTAGCACTCTGTAGATACCTAAAAATGTCAGTTTTTCCATTATATTATCAGGGTACATGAGGTGAAAGGAACTTCAAGAGATCTTCAGTTTAAGCCAGTTCTCCATTTTTGACTTTATAGTTTTTGTTTTTATTTCCATACCTTATCAGATGATAAACTCATCCTGACATTCCCAAAACTTTGGTTCCTAGAGGACACATAGAATTTAAGATGAGTATGGAGAATGTCTGCCAATATAAATTAGCTTTGTGAATTTGCAATTCATCCTCTCCAAGAGACCAGAATTCTATCAGGTATAAAAACAATACCCCTAACCTGTGGAAACAGACAATAGGGTGGTGAAGGCCTGGGGTGGAGGCTGGGGGTAGACTGGAGGGGGTCATTGGGGAAAAAGTGAGACATATGTAATACTTTCAACAACAAATAATCATTTTTAAAATTTTTAAAGAAAAACAAAACAAAAAGCTCAACAATGTCTCAAAATACATGCTTTTATGATAGCAAAGATAAAATAATGGACCTTCAAATTCATTATATTTCTAGTTTTTTTTTCAAACAGGAAACCGATCTCTTTTTTTTTTTTTTTAACATATTTTATTGATTTTGTACAGAGAAGAAGGGAGAGAGATAGAGAGTTAGAAACATCGATGAGAGAGAGTCATCGATCAGCTGCCTCTTGCACACCCCCTGCTGGGGATATGCCCGCAACCAAGGTACATGCCCTTGACAGGAATCCAACCTGGGACCCTTCAGTCCCCAAGCTGACGCTCTATCCATTGAGCCAAACTGATCTCGGCTCATTATATTTCTTATAAGTCAATTTTAATTGGCCACTGATTTTTAAATTAAGATAAAAATTTAAGAATTTAGCCCTAACTAAATTTGGCTGAGTGGATAGAGCATCAGCTTGAGGACTGAAGGGTCCCAGGTTTGATTCCACTCAAGGGCATGTACCTTGGTTGTGCAGGAGGCAGTGTGCAAGAGGGGGTGTGCAGGAGGCAGCTGATCAATGTCTCTCTCTCATCGATGTTTCTAACTCTCTATCCTTCTTCCTTCCTCTCTGTAAAAAAAAGAAATCAATAAAGTGTTTTTTAAATGAAGAATTTAAATTACAATTAATTAGAAATTTTAAGTTTATAGTGAAATTATGAAAAATTTAACAAGTTATATTACTCATTTTAAAATTGAGCACAAAACAGAGTTTTACCCATAACAACCTCTCAACAAAGTTTTATCTTTTTTGTTTGTTTGTTTGTTCTGTTTAATGAATGAATCAATGTGTTGTTTCCTAGCAAGGCAATAGCTTTCTGCCTTTGAGCATGTGGCATTCTCCCAAATGTAATTCTTCCTTACCTGCTAATTGATGAATGGATCAGAGATGATTATATAAAATATGTACTCTGGCAAATTATATATTACATTCAGCTCTAAACAGTACTCAGTTAATACAATGAAAAATAAATAAAAGGCTAAAAGAATCAACATACAGATAGAAAAGCAGCTTGCTCATTAAATTATTTGACATTGGAAGGCCATAATCCCAGGACAGAGAATTTATGACATTTCTGAATCTGCCAATTCTCATTATCTCATTTAAAGGCTACCAGGCTTCTCTGATATTTGTCTCAGTGGTTAGAGAGTCACAAGTTCCATTCCTGGTCAGGGCACATACCTGGCTTGAGGGGTTCGATCCTTTGTCAGGGCTTGGGCATGAGGCAACAGATGGAAACCATGTTTCCCTCTCCCTTTCCCTCTCCATCTCCCTCTTCTTCTTCCTCTCCCTCTCCCTCTCCCTCTCCCTCTTCCTCTCCTCCTCCCTTTCCTTCTCCCTCTTTCTCATCCTCTTCCCCTCCCTGTGTCTAAAATTAATGAAAATATATCCTTGATTTAGGAATAAAGGCTACCAGTCAAACTAAGGCTCTGTTATTGGTATCAGGGGCAGCTGGATGCTGATTGGAAGGAGTAAAGTAGAAACTAAAAGTACATATTTTGGTGAGAAATTATATTATTGTCCCAAAACTTTCTAGAAGGTAAAATATATTATTGGCAAAAAGCTTTCTGAAAGGTAAACCAACTATCTCACCTACTAGCATTCATTTATATGGAATTAACTGTAATTTATTGAGTCCCAAAGGATGTCTACATGACAGTAATTGATTCACTACACCTTTTAACAGCATACTGAATTTAAATTATTTGTAAATTGCAGCAGAGATATTAATCAGTTCGCCTAGCTCAGAATTGTTTTCTAAATGGGTATCCTAGATCCTGCTGAAATGCTCACCATATTTCTGAGCAGGTGACCATGTGTCCTGATCCAGATTGATTGAACCAAAGGCAGACACCTGAAGTAAGCCAAGGTGAGATCATAT